TGTTGATTTGATAAAACGGTCACCAAACGTGTCATTATGAATCCTAACACATAAACAGTTGTGGGGATTTGTCTGTGAACTATTTTTAGCTTTGGACCTAAAAGGAAAAAGCTGCAGAGAGACACAAACTGTTGGAGAATGGACTCACTTTATAAGGATTTATTAAAATGTCTAACTGATTTGATTACTGAACCTTGCACGGGTCAGTGATATTATAATTTTTGTATGTGTGTGCAGCACTTTAGTTTGCCTCCTAAACAATGGAAAGCCCTTTTTAAATTAGTGCTGCTGCTGCTGCTGCTGCTGATGATGATAATGAAAAAGACTCACTTGTCATCAGAGCTCTTTCAAAACTTCAGCTGATTTAAGGGAGAGCAATTTCCTAGTGGTTTGTTTCTGTTATAATTATGAAAAAAAATAAATTTTACCTTTGAAACGTGCATTTTCAACAGGTCGGTAAAATCTCCTCAACCACTGACTATTAGCAGAAACTTATGTTTTAAAAGGATATTATGCAGGTTTGGCTTGCTTTTAGCACCCCCCATTCTTCCGTCAGTGAAAACAAAGGTGAAACTTATCACCTCGCTGTGTGTTCTTTTTTTAACACCTTAGTTTAACAGCTGAAATGTCTCCTCAGCCTTCATTAGTGTCTACAGGATTGGTTCATCACCAAAAGAAACACATCAGATGTGTTCACTGCAGCCCCAGGCATGTCGGCTCCACTTTACTAAGTCCACTAAGACTGGCACTCTGAAGTTGCAAGTGTGTTATTCTAGCGTCAGAGTGTGGTAAGGGTCTGAGTGACATTTCATTAACCCTGTAAAGCAGGGCTATTCAATTCTGGGCCTCGAGGGCCGGTATCCAGCACGTTTTGGTTTTAACCCTGCTTCAACACACCTGATTTCAGTGATTAACAGGTTTCTGCAGAGCCTGATGAGCTGCTGCACATGTGATTCAACCACTGAATCAAGTGTGTTGGACCAGAGAAACCAATAAAACTGGCTGGATACCGGCCCTTGGGACCCGGAATTGAATAGTCATGCAGAAAGAAATTAAAAGAAATCACAGATAATTTTGGTTTACAACAAATGATCAATGATTCCACTAGAATAACAAATCGCTCTAGAACTCTAATAGACCTGGTGTTCTCTAATAAACCGGATAGAATGATAAAAACATATAACTTTTTGACTGGCTTGTCGGACCACAATGCCATATTCTTCTCTAGAAAGCTAACTAAAAAACGACTGAGATGTTTCAGTAAAAGGACGAATATAAAACAAGCATTCATTCCCAAAAATCAAGAGCCACATTTAACAGCTGCTCTAAATAATTTGGACTGGAATAGCATACTAACATATGATGACACTAATAAATGTTGTGATCTAGTATACTCTGCTATTAAAGGGGTCTTGTCACAGTTTCAGAAAGAGTGCCTTTTAAAGAAACGAGTTTATTCATTGCCTTGGATTAATACTGAGTGTAAACAGCTTATGAGACTTAGAGATCGGTTACTCAAAAAATCGTTACAATCTGGATTACATACTGATCGATTACATTTTATATCTGCAAGGAATAAAGTCACACAATTCTTGAGAATGGCAAAAGCAAATTTTTTCATGACTGTAATTAATAATGCCAAAGGAAACTGTAAGCTAATCTGGGAAAATATTAACAAACTTCTTGGTAACAGTAAGCATAATGCAGAGAAGGACCTTGAACTTAAATTTGCCAGTGAACTAGTGTCAGAACCACTTAGCCTAGCTACTAAATTAAATGATTTCTTCCAAAGTACCATTAATGAAATTGCACAGTTGTTTTCTAATTCTGATGACCATCGACAAAATATTGGGAATATCGGCACCGAAGAGGAAGATTCTTTACCAGACTCAAAGTTCAATATTCAGAAAATTACGGAAAGTGAAGCAGAAAATATAATATCTAAATTAAGAAGTTCTAAAGCAAAGGATGACTTTGGATTTGACACAAATTTCTTAAAGCATTATAAATCTAGTCTTTTGGTGCCTGTGACCCATCTTATTAATTTATCAATCTCGCAGGCAGTCGTTCCTTTGAGTTGGAAGGTGGCGAAAGTAACACCAATTTATAAATCGGGTGATAAAATAGACCCTATTAATTATCGACCTATTAGTATACTGCCCATCTTTTCAAAGGTAGCAGAAAAGTGGGTTGCTAAATCTATCATTGAACATCTTAATGATTCCGATCCGGGTTTGCATCCTATGCAATTTGGATTTCGCACTCTTCATTCAACTGAAACGGCTGTCTGTGTTTTTGTTGAGAGAGTGAAATCTTATTTAGACAAGAGTCGTTGTGTTGCGGCAGTTTTTCTCGATTTCAAACGTGCATTTGACACTGTCAATCATCATACACTCTGGTCTAGACTGTCGACATTTAACTTTAGTAATCATACTGTTAAATGGATACAGTCTTATTTATCAGATAGAAAACAATGTGTGCAAATAAAGAATAGCAAGTCACCCTATCTTAACTGCATGCAAGGTGTTCCCCAGGGTTCAATTTTGGGTCCCCTGTTATTTTCACTTTATGTAAATGACTTGCCTAATGTATGTACAAATGTGGACACAATTATGTATGCTGATGATACAGTAATTTTTACGCAAGCCGAAACTCCGGATGATGCAGCCCATCAGCTTTCACTGGCATTACGTGATTTACAAAAATGGCTGAATGACTCATGCCTGTGCCTTAATTTTAACAAGACCGTATCAATGTTTTTCAGTAAACCTAAGACAACCGTAGCTGCAGGAAAAGTTTGCTTGGGTGCACATGAATTAATTAATGTTGAGGAGTTTAAGTATTTGGGAGTGCGATTAGACTCTAAATTAACTTTTAAAAAACATATTAGTAAAGTAGTGAAAACTGTTAATGTTAATATACGGAACTTTAGATATATCCGATCGTCATTAACACACACGGCAGCGATTACATTCCTGCATTCTATGATACTGGCTCATATTGAATATTGTATTACCATTTGGTCCTATACGAGCTCGGCTGCTATTGGGCCAATTGAAGTATGCTACAAAAGAGCATTGAAAATATTAGATAAAAAACCTCTCTCATATCACCACTGTCAAATTTTAGCTAAATACAAGTTTTTAAATTTTACTAATTTTAAATTATTTAAATCGGCCTGTTTAATATATAAAGTTATACATGGTCTGGCGCCACCACCAATGAGTGATTTTATTAAACAAAAGTCTAGCAGTGTTGTCGGGTCTCGACTGACTCGAGCCACTGCTAGAGGTGACTGTGAACTGACATTCAGGCGGACTACCTTTTCACAGACTGCTCTGTCATACCAGGGAGTGACATTCTGGAATAGTCTTCCACTATCTGTAAGGGAAAGTACCAGTCTAAACATCTTTAAGAGTCGCTTAAAACAGCGGCTGAGGGACACACAAACATGTGATCATGTCTAATATTTATATTTCATATTTGTCCGGGAAAAGAGTTGGTACAGTATTAAAAGGGAAACAACTGCTAGTTTAATGGGTGAATGTAATCTCACGACAGTCAGGGCATATGCAGTATCGGGGTTTGTGCAATACAATTGATGTGTTTCCGTTATTGCTGTCTATGTTGTTCTCTGTGTCCACTTTCTTTGACATTTGTTTGTGTTTGTATAATGGGATGACAGTTTTTGTCTCTGTCACATGACTTGTAAATACTATCTCTGTATGTTTACACTACTCTGTGTCTAACATCAACCTGCCGGAGGGTCTGCAGATGGAAATTAGCCCAAGGCTATAATCTGGCATATTTACATTTATTGAAATGTTCATTAATATGTATTGACCCACTTCCTAAATAAAAAAAAAAAATAAATAAAAATAAAGGGTCATTTTAGCACATACTGGCTCAAGAGAAGGATTTTAAAAATAAAAAAAGTTACATAATATGGCTTTAACCTGTTATGATTCACATACTGAACTACAGGTTAGGGTTAGGGTCTGATCTGTAAAAGATTGTTTTAATGGTGACATGAGCACAGTTTATGCTTTTTGTTCCATTGACCATTAACTGAACACAGAAAACTACGATATTAAGAACAATTCGAAAAAGCCTAACTCTACTAGCTATTATTAGTAAAGTATTATTGGCATTTTGGTTTTGAAAGCTAAGTGAAACATAATGTCTCATAAAAATTCAAGTATAAAAATTATAAACAGTCAATTAAAACGTTTGTGCATCTTTCCTCTGATGGATGAAGAATGAGTTGAAGTTAAAGTCTGGAAGAGACGAGAGTTTCAGGAAGATGGAAGGTGACACAAGTTCAGCAAACACACACACACATACGCACGCACACACACACACGCACGCACACACACACACACACGCACACACACACACACTTCAGGACTGGTGAAGATTCTCTAAAGACCATTTCATAATAGTAGGCTGGTGGTAGAATCTTGTAAAAAATTGTCATTCCTTTGAATCCATGAGACTGTATTAATTCTGAAATGTAATTCTGCTGCAGTATGGGATCATCTGTGACTTTTTGAGTCTCATACAGGGTTTAGACTTAAGGCTTGATCGTGAGCCCCACCAGAAATCTCTCCACCCTGCCCCCCATAACTGCTCATTTGGTTTTTCTGAGGGCTTCATGTTAAAAGGTGTCTGCGGTTAACATCCATGTGCTCTAAACCAAACAGACCTTTTTTCTCAATACAACAGTGAAAAGTGTCAAACCAAGGGCCAGCTAGGGGTAGGGGGCCCTGCTGGTAGGGGCCAATGGTTGGAGGGCTAAGGTTTGTGCCTCTTCTAAATGCTTGTGTTCCTCCTGTGATGCTGCAGAATGAGGCTGGGGGCGCAAACACGCTGCAGCACCCCTCTCTCTCTCTCTCTCTCTCTCTCTCTCTCTCTCTCTCTCTCTCTCTCTCTCTCTCTCTCTCTCTCTCTCTCTTCCCCCCCCCCCCCCCCCCCCTCACACACGCACACACACACAGGAGCTTGGCACAGAGCCGCAGCCACGCACATTTGAAACTTCTGAGACAGAGGCGGAGATCTTTCTAGCTCGTCCCACTTAATGGATTAAATTCACGCTTTCTCGTCTTCCTTGGCTTTTTTTTCTCCTCTTCTCCGTCTTCCTCCTCCTCCTTCCTCCTCCGGTTTCGTGTTACAAAGCCTTGGGAGGGAGTTGCGGAGAGCCAGTTCTGTGTAGAAACTGAATGACAAGATCAGATGGCGTGATCCAAGCAGCTTGATAGTCCAAACATTTGAAATCAGAGCGGACAGCAGAGGGGAGAGGACCGCGGACAGATCCATCCGAAGAGGATAAGGAATAATTATTCAAAGTCCTAAACAAACGCGAGATAACGGCGAGAGGCGGAGAGGAATATCCATCTGGATCAGTCGCTGGAAGCGGCGAGGACGCAGCTCCTGCCACCATCAGCGGGACCGGGGGTGAGTTAAAGCCGTTATCCGTCCTAACGCGGCTCGGTGCGCAGCCAGGCGGTCACATTCAAAGGAAACGGGCGTAGAAAACCCGGAGAGTCTGGACCTCCAACTGTTGCCACGAAGCCACCTTTATATTTTCTCAGATTAGAGCTCCTGCGTATGTCTGAGCCTGGCTTTAGGGGTGAGGGGGTGGCCAGTTTGGGGGCTAAACGCGCTGCAACTTTATCCCCCACGCAGCCAGCCAGGAGCGCAGCGTAAACACAGCGCACTGCGGTCAGAAACGGGATCTCCGCTCCAAAACCACCTCCCTGTGCAGCAGAAAACTACACATGAAAGCTGGTGATGTGGAGCTCTGCTCCTCACTGCGCCACTCCAGCGAGCTTTAACCAGGATCTGGCGGAAGTTCCGACTGGATTCCGTTACTACCAGCTCCTTCTGAGGCGTTGTTGTTTACGTTTTCCCTCCTAAACTCATATTATAAACTCTTAAAATAACCCAGCAGCTAAAAGAGAACTTTAGAGTGTTTCCCCCTCTCATTTCCCGACAGATTATTTTTCTTTAAGTTAATGAAGTAAGTGCAGGCTTCAGTTGAGTGATTATTGTAATTACTCTGGAGGGGGAGGGCCACAGAGGCGTGC